TGGGGGGGGGGGGGGGGGGGGGGGGGGGGGGGGGGGGGGGGGTGGGGGGGGGGGGGGGGGGGGGGGGGGGGGGGGGGGGGGGGGGGGGGGGAGAAGCCAATGTGAGCCCAAGAAAGGGACCCCACCCCCACCCCCCTGTCCAAGCCAAGGGCAGCAGATTCAGGGATCTCTAACGGAAGGGCTGGGGGCCAACATGGACACTCTGAACGCTTTTCTGCCTCAATGTATTTGTTTTCATCATCGTTGTCGTTGTTGTTGTTGTTGTTGTTATTATCGTTTATAAAATAACTCAAGGCAGAAAACATATCCAACTCATCAACTTCATCCTATTTTCCTCACAACAACAACCCTGCAAGGTGGGTCGGGCTGAGAGGGAGGGACTGGGCCCAAAGTCACCCATCCAGCTTTCATGCCTGAGGCGGGACTAGAACTCACCGTCTCCTGGTGATTGGCCCAAAGGCACCCAGCTGGCTTTCATGCCTAAGGTGTGACTAGAACTCCCTGTCTCCTGGTGATTGGCCCAAAGGCACCCAGTTGGCTTTCATGCCCAAGGCGGGACTAGAACTCCCTGTCTCCTGGTGATTGGCCCAAAGGCACCCAGCCGGCTTTCATGCCTAAGGCGGGACTAGAACTCCCCGTCTCCTGGTGATTGGCCTGATTCCTTCACCACGAGGCCAAACTGGCTCATTATGAGAGGCAGATTTCCGGCACTCATTCAATCAACTCTCAATTTACACAAGGAGGAAAACAAAGAGAAGCAGATCAAGGCGCTTTCTGGAAAGATCTCTCCGGCCAATACATTTGGGGGAAAGCCGATATATCAAGAATGCTCTCTTCATCAATACAGGGAGTCCTTGACTTACAACAGTTCACTTAGTGAATGAAGTTACAGCAGCACTGAAAAAATGTGACTTGTGACCGTTCTGCACACTTAACGACCGTTGCACCATCCCCATGGTCACGTGATCAAAACTTGGGCGCTTGGCAGTCGACTCATAGTTACGACGGCTGCAGTGTCCCAGGGGGGGTGTCATGTGATCCCCTTCTGCAACCTTCTGGCAAGCAAAGTCCATGGGGGAGCCAGGTTCATTTAACGACCATGTGACTAGTTTAGCAACCGCGACGATTCACTTAACAACCCAGGGCAAGGGAGATCGTCCAATGGGGCAAAACTCACGTAACCATTGTCCAATCGCTTAGCAAGAGGCCCAATTGTAGTCCTAAGTCGAGGACCACCTGTAACCTCAACTGGAACAGGAGCGGTCTGAGATCGTCCTGGCAAGATGCCCATTGATGTCCCTCTAGGAAAATCACCCTGAACCTCAAAAGATTCACGTGAAGTATTACTACCGGTTGGTAAAGCCTTAGTAAGGCCACACCTGGAATCCTGCATCCAGTTTTGGACACCACATTGCAAAAAAAAAAAGATGTTGAGATTTTGGGGGAAAAACGTGCAGAGAAGAGCAACTAAGATGATTAAAGGACTGGAGACCAAAACATATGAAGAACAGCTGCAGGATTTGGGTTTGGCCGGTCTGGAGAAAGTAAGGACTTTTAGGGGTGACGTGATAGCAGCCTTCCAGTATTTGAGGGGCTGCCCCAAAGAAGAGGGAGTCAAGCTATTCTCCAAAGCAACTGAGGGCAGGACAAGAAGCAACGGGTGGAAAATAATCCAGGAGGGAAGCAGCCTGGAATTAAGGAGAAACTTCCTGACAGGGAGGACAATTAACCCGTGGAACAGCCCGCCACCAGAAGTTGTGGCTGCTCCATCCCTGGAAGCTTTTCAAGAAGAGACTGGACAGCCACTTGTCTGAAATGGTATCGGTTCTCCTGCTTGAGCAGAGGGCTGGACTAGAAGACCTCCAGGGATCCCTTCCAGCTCTATTCCGATGGATTAACCGAAGCCTGGGGCAGGAATAGCCACACCTCCGCCGGTCCTGGGTGCAAGCTACACCTTGCACCGCCACCCACTTCTTCAAAGGCGAGAAAACTGGGACCCGTCGTTCTGGTGAGAAAGACGGGGAAATGGTGCCTTTTTCACAAGCATTGTCTGTGCCGGTGATGTCCCAGCAGCCCATACCTAAAGTGCACAACCAGGAAACACCGCACAGGTGTGTTGACAGAGGCGATGGGCCCCTAAGGAGCTGTATCCTGAAGGACTTCCGTCCTGTCTGGCAGAACGGTCCCCCCCCACCAACCAGGTCCTATTTTTGGACTCCGGCGTTTTTGGCAGCCGATGACGACCGACTTCCCATTCCAGAGTCGTGGCCAAGCGTTCACCGTTCTCAATTGAAAAGGCGGATGCTTGGATTTGTCCAAGCTTCCTTTCTTTGACTGCTTCCCTCCCAGAAGCTCTTCAGATGCCTCCTGAGTTAATGGACTGCTGGGGGTTGATCAACTTAACGGGAGGCCCTGAAGTCACATCAAGAGCAAGCCAGGAGAAGTTCTCCCAGTTAATAAAAACCAGCCAGGTTGGTACCCAAATCCGAACCCAAGCGGTTGGAAATGCAAACAGAGACACGGTACCTTCTTCCACTCATGGTGGCCATGCCCCGAAGTTAAAAAAAAAGTATTGGATTAAAACATGAAAATGGTTCTATGGAACAACGGATGTCAATTAGAACCGGAGCCAGAACTGTTCCTTTTAGGGATAATTAAGGGGAAATATAATAGAAAGTATATAAGTAAATAGCATAACTACGGCAGCGAGATCGCGCTTGCACAACGCTGGAGAAAGGACAACATACCGTCAGAAGGTCTAGTAATTCAAAAAAAATCCTAGAATGTGCAGAAATAGACAAACTCACCCTAGCGCTAAAAGGTAAAGAAAATTCGGAGTATTATGCGGTATGCGAACACTGGTATGAATGGAAGGACGATAGGAATAAAAATTGTAGAGAGAGGAAGAAGGTATTGTAATATATACGAGTAATTAGAAATGTCTGGAAATGTGTCTTTGTAACGAAGATGCCTCAGTACCGTTAAAGATGTTTGAGATGTGTAAAGAGAAAAAAAATTGCAATAAAAAAAATTAACAAAATAAAAACAAACCAGCCCTGGTCAAATCCAGCACAGAAAGGAACCGATTCCCACAATCCCGTCTCTTTTACAGGCATAGCTTAGTCCTCGTCCTATTTGTTTTTGTGGCCTTTTGCCCAGATTATTTTTCTCTTTAAAAAAATAAAAAACCAAACCAGCTTCTCTCTCTGCTTGCCAGGAAAGCCAGGACTTGATGTGTCAGCCGAGGACAGGATACAAGGTGCTTGTTGAGCATTTAAATCACAACTAATTGCTCCGTTGTTGTCGCAAGGATGGTTTGTTTTTGCCAAAACTGCTCCGCGCTGCCGGTCTTCTTCTCTCCAGACGTGGGGCCGCTATTTATAGAGCCCCCCACTCCACCGCAAAAGACGGAAGAGAAGATATTTATAATGCTGACGGACGGACGGACGGTCCAAATCGCAGAGCTGCATCCGGCCCGGGGCTGATGAAAGGCAGGAGGACTTGACGGGAGAAAGCAAGAACTTTTCGCTCAACTGTCACCGCAGAGAGAACGGAAGGAGCTTCGGGGAAACAATGGAAGGATTGTGTCCAGAAAGACGTCAGAGGAAGGGTAAACTGAGGCAACCTGGCCCGGAGGCAGAACCGGTCGAAAGAACAGATCTTAATACCGGCGTGACCCATTTAGCAGCTTGAAAGAAACCATTTTGGCCGGGAAATTCTCCATGCCAACAGAAGGAAATCACAAGGATTCGTTTAGTGACGACGACGCTGGCGGGGGGGGGAGGAGGAGTACTTAGGACCGTTTTCCCCACTAACTTGGTAGAATTTGAACCAGAAAGAAACTTTTTTTGGAGGGGGGGGAGGTTTAATAAAAAAAGTTTTTGGGGGGGAAAAATATCTGGAACTTTGAGGTTCGTTGATGGCAGCAAAATCGATTTAATTTGTTTTTTTTGTGCCTAAATACGAAGCAGGATTTAAGCCCCCAAATGGGAGGGCACTTCGATCCCCACCAAGACTGGTTGCAGAGAACGTTGGTGGAATGAGCAAGATCGACAGACGGCTTTTCATAAAAGGAAAATAAAAACCCACACAATGACTTATGTTTCTACCACTTCTGGACTTCGTGCTCCAGAGGTGGGGATGAAACTTCGATTTTGAGTTTTACTGACTAGAAGGTGCTTTTCCAGGAGGCAACGGGACTTCCTTGTATTTCTTTTTTTTCCTTTTCAAGGCTTTTAGCTATACAATTTGGGATTAACCCCCTTGGAATGAGGTTGGAGTAGGAAGGGATTTCCAGAGAGGAAAAAAAAAATTGCAGACTACGGGAACTGTTTGCGCCACTCAGGTGACCCTGAAGACGCAGATAAACCTCCAAGCGGCCTCAAAGACCCTCTAAATGGATGCAAATGACCAGCTGTGTCTGCAAGGAGTTCAAATCCTTCCATTCCCCACCATTCAGTCAGTGCTGAGGAAGCTTCTCGGAAGAGAAGCGAAACATCTTCAAAGAAAAACCAGAAAGTCCAGTTGCCTCTTGAAAAAATAAAATAAAATAAAAGCACTTTTGAGACAACCACAACCTGGATGGCTGAGAATCTCTTCAGGCTTTTACCGATTAGCTAGATTTGCTTTTATAGAAATGGCTAGTTTATACCCGTATGAAAAAAAAAAAGTAAAAAGTTGAGGTTTATTTTCCCTGCACCAAACGGTGTCAGAAAGTCAGCGGCTTTTCTTCCTTTTTTTCCCCCTTCTTTTCTACGCTCTTCCCTTCCCCTTTTTCCACCCCTGGTTTTCCGTTTTTGCAATTTTTTTTTTGCATTTCGCATATTCTGTGTATTTTGTATAACCGTTGCAGCTTCCCTGTGGTCACGTGGTCTAGATTCAGAGGCTCGGCCACTGACTCATATTTATGACGGGTTGCAGCGTCCGGGAGTCATGGGATCACTTTCTGCAACCTTCCATAATCAGAGTCAACGGGGAAGCCAGGATCTTTCAGAGAAATCTAAACGTGAATTTGAATTTATCTGGCCTGATGCATCTATGTCCCCTTTTGATCCTCACACCCGTGAACTGAAAAAAATTATGATCAACTTTAAAGATACTAAGAATCCTCTGCCATATGCACATTTCTCCAATCTTCACACCTGCACACACACACACACACACACACACATGTACAAAAGAGCCAATGGTGAAGATACTGGCATGGAAATCAGGCGACGGTGAGTTCTAGTCCTGCCTTACGCATGAAAGCTGCTAGGTAACTTTGGGCCAATCACCAGGCGACGGTGAGTTCTAGTCCCGCCTTAGGCATAAAAGCCCAATGGGTGACTTTGGACAAGTCATTTTCTATCAGCTAACCCACCTCACAGGGCTGTTGTTTTTGTGGGGGAAAGTAGGAGGACGAAGGAGCATTAAGTACGTTCACCACCTTGCGTTACTCATAAAGTAATAAAGGTGGGATAAAAATTTAATAAATTAATGTATATTTAAAATCCTGCTTGGACCCGAACTGCTAGGCTGGGGGGTGGGAGGGAAGGGGGGGTCTCTCTGCAACCCCAGGCATCCCATCTCCGTCCTTGAGAATCGCAGAACAAAAGAGTTGGAAGGCACCTGGTAGGTCATCTAGTCCAACCCCTGCTCAAGGAGGAAACCCTATGCCATCTAATAACTGAATAACAGAGTAAAAGAGGGACCTTGTAGGTCATCTAGACCAACCCCACCCAACCCCATTTCAGACCTTTCAGAAAAATCACCTCCGGATCAAAACCGAACGTCCCGAGGCGCCGTCCCCTTACCGAGTTTCACGCTTTGGACTCTGCCTCCGATTCGATCCGACGCTTCGAGAACTGTCACATCCGTGAATCCGTTTTCTAGGAGGGTTTTGGCTGCCGAGAGGCCAGCAAGGCCCGCTCCGATCACTACTATTCGCGGCTGTCGTGCTCCTCGTGGGCCACTACTAAGGGGGTCATCCGTACTCTCTGCCGATGTATCACCACTTTGCATGCCGTCCAAACTCTCTTTCTAATGAACCTGCCGAGAGATTCCAAAAAAGTCTATTTAGATATAAAAGCAATAAGCCCCTAACGCATCATCACAAAATCTCCAGAACCGCAAAGCCTACAACCTTGAAATTTGGCCCGTAGGTTCGTCTTGGCTTCTAGGGGCTCACCAAGAAAGGATTTTTCCAAATGACTATCAGAGCATTTAGAGTATTTCCTATATTTTATTATTAACAGGCTCTGATGCTAAGGAGTCCTACTCCCCCTTCCCACCTGGAAAGAAATCTCTTCCAAACACAAAACACAAGCAGAGGAGAGGAATTTCAGTTTCACAGCACCACCAAGCAGCTTTAGTCCAGAACAGTTGAGCTAAGCCATGCCCAGGCTCCTTGCTGTCTCCTTCTTGCTCACCCAGCAAATACTCTTTCAGTTTCCAAACAGCCCTCTACTCTCTCACACACGGACAGGACGCTGGTCAGATGAATACCGATGGAAGCTGGTAGGCAGAGATAAGATGATAGATAGATGGATAGATGGATAGATAGATAGATGGATGAGAGAGGGAGAGAGAGGGGGGAGAGAGAGGGAGAGAAGAGGGAGAGAGGGAGAGAGAGAGAGAGAGAGAGAGAGAAAGAGAGAGATCCCTTCAGTGCATGTGCGAACGCCAAGGCTCTCTCTCTTGTCCCTTCACATCCCTCCTAATCCACCTCTTTGAGACTCTGCCTGGAAGAATCGTCCAGGCTGCAGGATAAGCTGACCTAAAATCCTGCATCAGCCGGAATTCGCCGGGAAGCGCCAATGACCAACCAACCTGGAATAAAATGCCTCAGACTTGAAAGATGAAAAAGCTTCGGAAACTACCCAGCGATCAAAAGAAGCGTTTTTAAGAGTGGGCGCCCATTTTAAGATCTGGCGTTTCTTTTTATAGACGCGTCGGATCTACCAGAGGGGCAATTTTGTGGTCAAAGACTTTATTTTATTTTTATTTTTAAAAAAACACCACTCCAGACGCTGCCCCGTGGATTGGCTTCTCGAGACCCACAGCAACACACTAAAATAGAATAGAATAACTGAGTTGGAAGGGACCTTAGAGGTCTTCTAGTCCAACCCCCTGCCTAGGCAGGAAACCCTACACCACTTCGGACAAATGGTTATCCAACATCTTTTTAAAAACTTCCAGCGTTGGAGCATTCACAACTTTTGGAGGCAATTTGTTCTACTGATTAATTGTTCTCACTGTCAGGAAATTCCTCCTTAGTTCTAAGTTGCTTCTCTCCTTGGTCAGTTTCTATCCTTATTGCTTCTTGTCCTGCCTTCAGGGGCTTTGGAGAGTAGCTTGACTCCCTCTTCTTTGGGGCAGCCCCTGAGAAACTGGAAGACCGCTATCCTGTTTCCCCTAGTCCTTCTTTGCAGGAGACTAGATCCATGATGGCAAACCCATGGCACGCATGCTGAAAGTGGCACGCAGAGCCATTTCCCCCGGCACGCGAGAGGTTGCCTGGAAGAGCCCCACCGCGCATGCTTGTGTGCACCGCCGCCCAACAGCTGATTGTTGGGTACCTGATGCACATGCGCAGGGGGGCGGGGAGGGTGCATGGGAGACGTGCGTGCATGCGCAGACATACATAGCACGCGAGGGGGGGATCACACGTGCATTTGTGAAGGAGGCATTGCAGGGGCAGCATGCACTGCCTTCTGGGTGCTGGCCTGCGAGCCTGCGCAAGCGAGCACACGCACAGTTATCGGCACGGGAGCCAAAAAAAGTTAGCCACCACTGGACTAGACGTGTCCAATCCCAGCAACTATTCTTCCTGTGTTTTAGCCTCCAGTCCCCTCTTTCCGTGGCTCTGGTCCGCACTCTTTCTAGAGTCCCGACATCTTTTTCATAGCGTAGCGACCAAAGGCAGATGCAAATATTACAAGTGGAGCCTTAACATTATAAACTGGCATGAACACTTCACGCGGTCTTGATTTTCTCCATCTGTTTATGCAGCCTAGAACCAGGTTGGCTTTTTTGGGCAGTTGCTGCACCCGGCTGGCTCCTATTTCAGTGGTTGTCCACTAGGACAGCGGTCACCAACCGGTGGGCCACGGCTGCAGAGAAATCTCACCCGCAGAGCAAGCCCCCAAAGCAATTAATCCAGGTTGCGCAGAAACACAAGGCTGCGCCGCCCACATGGCCCGCGGGAACCCTCACTCACTCCTTACCCGGTAAACTTATTTGCTAAGTTGCTATTTCCCCTTTTTCCGACCATCAGCTGTTCTGCTGTGTTGGGAGATTTAGATTAGCCAGGAAGCAGGAAACAGTTGGATTTCTTGCTTTCTAGCTAGTCTTTAGATCTTCGGCTCTGCTTTTAAGCACAGCCAAACCTCCCTTAGGACTGAAGGTCCTATTATTCATTGCAGACTCACCGCAAGCAAATTTTATGTGACAGACTAAGCTAGCCGATGGCAGATAGATAGATCACTGAATAATTCTGTGAGCAACTCAATCTGCCTGCTTTGCCTGATTTTGGGAAAAAGTTGCTCTCTTTTTTTTTATAAAAAATTCAATATTTATATAAATATTTATAATATTTACATACAAGCCATGCCCAGTCACATGACCAAGCCACACCCACAAATTAGGCCATGCCCACAGAACCGGTTAGTGGTCCCTGGGATTTAAAGTTATGAGTTTGGTGGTCCCCAAGGTCCAAAAGGTTGGCGACCCCTTCACTAGGACACCGAGATCCCTCTCACAGTTACTACTGTTGAGCGAGGTATCACCTATACCGGACCTGTGCATTTGGTTTCTCTTGCCTAAGTGCAGAACCTGACTTTTTTCACTCTTAAATTTCATTTTGTTAGATAGCGACCCATGTTCAAGTCTGTCAAGATGGCTGCCCTCTTTTTGGAGGGTCAAGGACCCCGCTGAGCCTTTGAAGCGGGTGGGGTTGCGGGACCCTCTAAAAAGCTGGCGGAGGAGCCAAGGCGGAGCTGGCAGTACCCCTCAAATTAATGACAGAGCTGAGCAGAAGGAAGGCGATAACGCTGCACTGAAGAACCAAACGAAAAACAGAGAGCCCCCCCTGTGGTTGGTGACGGGGGAGGTAGAAAAAGAGGGTTTTGAAGGGAATAAGCGACGTAAGAAAAGGAGGGACCCTTTGGGATTTGGGGAGCCCAGGATCAGCCCCTTTTCTATAAAGAGCGGGCCAAGAGATGGGTCCTTGCTGAATGACATTGCTGAGTGACAGCTGGTTAGGGAATTCTGGGAGTCGAAGTCCACACATTCTGACCAGGGAATTCT